TGTTGTGTGTGTGTGTGTGTGTGTGTGTGTGTGTGTGTGTGTGTGTGTGTGTGTGTGTGTGTGTGTGTGTGTGTGTGTGTGTGTGTATAGTTCCAATAGCACTTTGAATTACTAATACTCACCGCGCTTCCAAGCGTTCTCTCTCCCGCTCGGTGTCCTCAAGGTTTTCGTCTTCATGCTTGTAACTGGGATTATTATCACTTTCATCGTATATATCCTTGTTACTATCTTTTCTATCATCAGCATTTTGCTGCATCTCCTGGCGAATGTTATCTGTGTTAATCCCAGCAGGGTCACCCTTCCACACATTCTGGTTCGCAGCCACCTGCACCTTGCGTTCATCTATATCTGCATGATTCGTCTCATACATACGTCCTGGTATAACATTGGGCGCTGCTGCCTCAGGCATCGATGTATTGCCAGCAGGTGCACGGAAGCCCACGATCATATACACTACTAACCCTAGAAATATAGGCGCTCTAAAGCGTTTGATCATGTGTATCAACGTCATGACGAACCCCGGTCGTGCGATGGTGATCCCTCGGCGTGGGGTTGTGTGGTTGCGCATGTAAACCACGGATAGTACAAGGGCGTATGACTAAAAACAGCTATTCACGGCACAGCACTTTAAGGCGATGTCGTGTGGTGGCACTGGGTGCTGATTCAGCGTGTTGATAAGGCTGCCTTATACACGTATACACATGTATTTGTATTATAGTATATTTAATATTTGCATCACACATAGTCCTCATATCATTGTGGAATCACCCATCAAGGCCTATACGGCTATGCCGGTTGCCGCCCTATGGCCTCTGCAGAGTTTTGTGAGTCAGGTATTTATGAGTTCAATGAGTTGTCAGTTGTGGCTATGTGTATTGTATGATGAGCCAATGAAAGCTTCCATATTGACCTCCACTGATTATTGCGATTTGAAAACGACAACAAGGGCTTTACACCAATGAATTTGTATATTATTCATTATCTTGTCATTTTAACCAATTATTATTATTTTGTAGAGCAGACTCCATTTTCACATGACCAATGAATAGTCTTTGACGAAGCCTCGCTCCTTCTATTCACACTCTTCCGTGTACAAATGGTTTTTACTTCGTTCTCTCTAGTAGTGACGGTGTATTTGAACATTTCACATCCTTCTCTAATTATCTTGTCGCACTCTGAGTGACGTTCATGCGATTAATACTGCGGTTGGACATGATTAGCAAAGTATGGCCGAGATGACCACGAATGCAGGAGAAGGGCTTCACATTCACTCGTTCACACCATTCTGCACGCGTTAGCGTATGGAAGTTCGCTGCGTAGCTGACAGCGGTAAAACCACAGTGCTACAGCTAGAAACAATCTGAATTGCATATTATGAGGTACCTTTTCTGGGCGTTATAGAGCTGCGCTCTTGGTCGACAAGCCACCTTTTCAGCACGTGACACTTTGATACTGGTGGATTTACACCATAAATTGCTTGTTTTCTTCAACTGCATCAAGCAGAGACGGTGCTTCGGTAGATAGACACAATCTGTGTGATCATTCCGTGCGCCTCAGACTAGTTTCACCAATCAGTCAGACAATATGTCTTTTATTGCTTATATATAAGTATTTCCGTGAAAAGTATATAACAGTTAAGTGCGACGTCGGGTCGCATAGCCCGAATGAGACTGCGTCCACTGTGATTGGTTGTGGCCCAGTTGAACCCAACCCACAAGTCAACAAAGCTTGCGGCAGTAAACACATCTCATGGAGAGATCTTGGCGCCTGTGCAGTAATTGCAGAGCAAACCCGACCAGTGTCCAGAAACTATGAGTGTGAACTAGGTTCAGAAATAATTAGTGTGATTTTATGTTCAGAAGCTATGAGTGTGATCTATGTCCAGAAACTATTAGTGTAAACTGTGTTTAAAATTATTAGTGTGATTTATGTTCAGGAACTATTAGTGTGCACTATGTCTATTAGTGTGAACTATGTCCAGAAACTATGAGTGTGAACTATGCTCGAGTGCCCCACACACATTGTTCGCAAATATTCCCAGAAGGGTTACGCAATGAATATTACCGAGTAAGTGATCCGAGTAGTGATCTCATCGGTATTGCAGTACTTGGCATTGCATATTTATGAAATAAGTCAAATCCAAGCTAGCCAGTGACACACACATCGCCCTTTCTCCTTGCTTGGCATTCACTTCACGCCATACCTTTTCCCGCGCACTATGAATTCGCACATCACACATCTCTTGTCTCTGCTGTGGTGCTTCCATATTTACTTGTTTATACACAAACGCAGACATATTTGAACGGCCCTTACTGAGATTTTATAGTGGTGGACGGGGTCAACAATGCAGCTCTCGTGCCTAGTACGAGAATGCTGTCTCAGTCAACAGACACGTATAGGTGACACTCGCACGTTTTGTATCACACACTCGCATGTTTTGTATCACACACTCGCACGTTTTGTATCACACTCTCGCATGTTTTGTATCACACACTCGCACGTTTTGTATCACACACTCGCACGTTTTGTATCACACTCTCGCATGTTTTGTATCACACACTCGCACGTTTTGTATCACACTCTCGCATGTTTTGTATCACACGCCCTTCTAGCAAGGCAGAGCTATGCATATACTATATCTACCTACCCTAGCTCATGCATCGAATACCACACGTGGGTGCAGTGGTAAATCTAGCTTACCCTTCCGCTTAGGTCTACCCGGAGCTGCCTTTTTTGTTGCAGCGGCATCTTTCACCTTTAGTGATTAGTAAATATTAGTCTTCGGCTTCTGGAAAATGTGTTGATGCTCTCTACCTAATATCTTATTTTCAAAGCCAAATATCTTACCATACCCGAATAGGTCTATGGTAGCATCTACTTCGCTTAGGAAGTATCCACTTCGATAATACACACTACACCAGGATGCGGAGAAGGCGTACACTAGCCCCGTATATGCTTATTCTCGGAGGCACATCATACGTCCAATTAAAATTCATATCGTACCTTCTTGGTCTTCGTCGCCGGTGTATCATTCTTTTTGTGTTCGGGTTTTTGGTTAGCCTTGACATTTTTGTTGTCCGCCTTTTTATTAGGCTTTTGGTTGGCTCTCTTGGATGTCTCTTTAGGCTTGTCCTTCAGATCTGCGTCACTCGCTTTGCGCTTGCCTTTCTTTGCCACTGCCTCAGCGCACACAATGTTCGAAGGTGTCATAAATGATCTCCAAAGCAGTCCGAATGCGAAACGCAAAACTGTTACATCCTCCGCAGAGGTTGCACTGGACCGGTGAATGCGAACATTATGCCGACATCCCAGTCAAAGAATAGAGCTTAAGTGAATAAGTGAATGAACACTCGTTGAGACATATCAACAAGGATACAACTGAGTGCCTATGCGTAAACCGGGACACAAATCGCTTTTACACACCTCCCTTCTGCTCGGTCTCATGCGTGTTGTGAACAGCCCCCATCATCTCAATGGTCTGTTGTCGCTTGCCATCGGGCAATTGGGCCATGCCAGGACAATCTTCCAAACTTTCATACAGTTCGAGAAGATGGTTCATTTGCTGTTGAGTAATGCAGTTGAGGCACCTAGGATGGGGTGGAGCGTATGAGCAAACGCGATCGCATCAACCATTCACGGACAGTACAGCTCTCTTGTGATGCGATTGAGCCATGTACAAGATAGTTACAGAAGACGGGGTAATGGACTGGTAAAGTACTGCTTTACATAATCATCAGATGTCAATATCAAATTGAGATGGGGAACGCGCACGCCAGTGAACTGCATATATATATATACGGCCGATCTCCGACTCCGAAACCAAGCATATATGTTCAGTACGTACATGCTACTGTACAACACTCACCGATAGAAATAGCTGCCGTGATTAACGGCTTCCGTGGACGTGCAATAACGGACGCTGTCTGCCGCAATTGTTTCCTTGCATTGTCCCTTACATTTGCTTCTACTGGTGCGTGCAAGCTCAACCGCGCTTCGAAGACCGTTGCGATACGGAACGTCTTTGATATCGAATCCGACAGAGGCCAGCATAGTCGCGTATAACTCTGTTCTCGATTCGTATATGGTAAAAGAGTGAAGAACACTTGCAGTTACTTTCAGTATATATATATATATATATATATATATATATATATATATATATATATATATATATATATATATATTATATATATATATATATATATATATA